AAATTTGAAAAAAAAAATCTCTACATAAATAATTGAAATACATGGATACATATGCGTATAGGTCTATATATATGTACAGATCTGGGCAAGTAAACAAAAATATATATTACCTTTTTGAAGTTAAAGAGAACTGCCTGAGAAGATAACAATACTGGAGAGGAGAGCAACACAGCTTTGATGAGACGAGACAAGAGATGAGAGCTGGTAGTGGTGCTTTAGAAAACAAGAGACAGGATAGAGACACATACAAGTTGAGAGAAGGAGAAGTGTAATGCCCCAAAATCCACCCTGGAAGGCATTATTATCTACAAACCATTCAACCATGAGAGCAACTAAAAATAACCATTAGATAATAAACTATTCATCTACCTGATAAAGAATAAATACTAAAACCAACAAAACATTAAATCTTCTCCAACTTACAATTCAAAAAACCAAAGAATATCTAGCAGGGAAATAATAAAACTAACTGAAATATTGTTTCAAAAAAATCTCTCCAAATACAATAATCATAACTAAAACAAAGCATCTCTAAGCCTCCACTTCAAGATCCTCATACTGACCCTCTCCAACCTCGAGATCAACCTATTCATCTAACTTGACATCCTCCTCGTTACCAAAATTTGTAATGTGTTATAGGGGGTGAGCAAAAGCTCTTAGAAAATCCTTCTCAAATCTAAAAAAGGTTTTAAAACAACAAAAGAAGGCAAGTCTCTTTTGAAAAATAGCATATCTAATTTTTTGAGAGTAAAACAATGGCAGTTGTAATGATCTTAAGTGTACGGAATATAGTAAATCAATGACATGAAAAAACTTGCAAGAAAGTAAAGCATTCAATATATAACTTAGTAGCATCATCCCATATTCTCATGTATGTTAGTTCATCCCCATTGTCATGTATGTTGGTTGCTCCTCAGGAATCTACACAACGATTCTATCTCGTTCACTTATCACAACCACACAATCTCAATCATTCCCTGTAGAGTCAAATCACAAATCACTTTATGAAGGGTGTATACCATCTCCCACGGTATTGATGAATCCTTCCCAGGAAAGGTATACTATCTCTTAGCCTTGAACTTACGTGAACAATAGTAGTTGCTCTCACAAATAACAATCCACTACAAGTGTAAGGCAGTCATCTCACCCTCACTAGGATAGACTAACCTCTAACACTTTACGACAGCTCTCGAAGGTAATTCAAGTCCATCACACCCAAACTATACAAGAGATGAAACCACAACTTTCTTAACAACCAAAATATTAACCAGTCACAATTTCCATTAACAATTCAAGTATCATAATTGTATAATTTTCAATATACTACAGTAAGAAAGGAATTAAAATATGCAAGAGATCATCTCAAGAAAATATTCACAATTTTTATGTCAAAATTCTAGGGTTTTGCCAAAAATCAAGATTTCTTGGAACAAGAACAAGTATTAGATGAAAATATGATTTAATCAAGAATAGGATTTAAAAATCAAAAATCCATATGAATTTCACAATAGCATGTGTATTTTGGAAAAACTAGGATTTTGAAAATTCAAGAACAAATATTACTTGAACCCAAACATATATTTTACTCAAGAATATGTTCCAATGATAAAGAAACTAAGAACTCATATATATATATCATATAATTATCAAGAAGATTGAAAACATACATAATTATACTCAAAGTCTCAATGAAAGAACTTAAGAATAATCACCTACTTCGATTCCGTAGTTTTTGTGCAAAAACCTAGCGTATTTGATCTGTCTCACAGTGAAAATCCCCCTTAATCTCTTGTTTCTCCTCTTCTCCCTTGCTGACCAAGGCTTTCTAGGGTTAGAACTAATGAAATAGGATTATGGGAGGCATCCTTAGGTATTTATAGGATGAGAAAATAGTCTAGTCAGTGCAACTGTAATACTCAAAATCGCGACCTCACATTCGAACTAGGGCATGACGTTCGAACTATCATCCTGACGTTTGAATGTCATTTTGGTGTTTGAACGCTGCTTGTCCCAGTACTTTTGCTTTTCCACTGGATTTCTATCAGACACGAAAGTGCTGGGACTAGCTGTCGTTCCAATGGATCCTCACGTTCAAACGGACTTCCATTTTTAGCTAAACTTCCAATAAAGTTTTGGCCTATTTAAAGGTCGATTTGAAAAATTATCATGAAATACACTTTTGTATCCCTTGAAGTTTAGTTTCTGCTCTCCAAAAATCAGCTCAATTGGACAGTAGAGTAAAAAGTTATAACTAAAATACTAAGGTAGTGTCAAATTTCTTTCTACCCAAATCTTCTCCAAAATAGATTTTAACTTCGAAATATTTCCTAATTCCTAATACACCCCATATTACCTCTCTCAATGACCTTACAAATTCACCAATTGCCTTATTTTTGCCTAAAATCATTCACAACATATGTCATGCCCCGAATTTCCACAAACCCATAGAGTGAGTGAAAAGGAAGAAGAAAAGTAAATAAAAGGTCATTAAGTTGGATAAATTGATTTCTCATTCATTTCCTACATTTTTCCAAAGTTTTTCAAGCCATTTTCCTTCTATTTTTAGCCTATTTCTTTAGGGTTTCTAACCCCCCCCCCTTCTTTCACATCCTTCCCACCTATTGAAAAGGTGTTTTACACACTTAACAAGTCTTTTAATTTTTCATAAAATTTTGACATAGCCTTATTTGTTTTCTAAGCCTCTTGCCCACCTAATGTTCACAACCCACCCTCAGTCGGTGGCCACAATCCATGTAAATTAAACATACATCATTTGTCTTCAACATACATATCTAGTTGTCTCAATATACACATATGATACTCATTAAATAAAGATATCCTACATATCAATTGGGTTTACACCCTTACACTTTAAAATGGCCCAAGGTCTATAATCCATTACTTTTCCAAATTGAAATACAAGTCATTTGAGCCTATGCCCATACATACAAAATATGCCCCAAGGGCCAAATATCCATTCAAGTCCCTTTCCCCTCCTTCCTTTAAGACTTTCTCAAGTATCAAGTACCTGGAGTCTCATCTGTAATATGATATCCCATGAATGGGTCAACTCAACTGTTGGTATGACAAAGTGCTAATGTTAGGAACAAATTTAAGGCATGTCATGTGCAAGTGTACATTTTAAAAGCTATAACCCCGTAATCCATCAATGCTATGCAATGTCAATATGCATGACACACCCATGCAACTCTATGCCACCCATGTCTTGCTTAACGGTCCACCCCCGTCAGCCCGCGAGTACTGTCATTGGCCAGATTTTGGATTTTTCACCACAGGATCTACACTCTCATAATGCATAGTACCAAGTGATCAACCCACACTATGTTTCAAGGATTCATGTATGCCAAGATGCCTTGATTTTTCTCAATGTGAATTCAATGAAATATTTCATCAAACACCTTATTTACATGAATGTGAAGCATCATTCAATGGATTAAACATATGATCAAGTTTCATGTTCATTACTTTCACAATTTTTTAAGGAAAATACAAATACACAAACTACCAACTCGTGGGATAAATCATAACCCTCGAACAACAAGAGTTTCTCTACATGAACATAAGCTAGAATATAATAATCCAACACATATACAAGGTACACCTTCATCATAGTAACAAATTGTCAAGAAACTAAAGAACACAAAAGTAATTAAACTACTAACTCTAAGGTTTCAATGCAACCACCACCTAACTGATTTTACAACATCAAGTAAACACCTAAATCATTCAATCAACACATAGAAATGCAAGAAAACTTAAATCTATTCGTAACTTAGCAAAACATCATACCTAAAATGGTTTTTCTCAAACCAAGAGAGTTGTGTTCACTATATAGCCCAACCGATCGGTGAGAATATAACCCTTGTTAAGAGGAACAACTTCTTAGAAGGAAGTATTGCAAGAATATTGGCCTAGGAATGTGTTTTGGTGGCTTGAAGAACTTAGAGTTTTTCTTCATTTTTCCTCGTTGAATGTGTACTGATCTATCTTTAGGCCAAATACTGATATTTTTACACTAAGGGGGTGTTTGGGCAGCTAGAGTGGATAGGATTGGTTATCTCTTTTTATATCTTAACTCATCCAATCCAAACTCACTCATCCACTTTAAAACCCTAACCTTGGAATATATCCAATCCTTACCTTTGTTTGGGAAACAAGAGGTGTAATTCAATGGGCCCCACAAGTTACATAAAGAATTTGTAGTATTTTACCATTCTACCCATGACTCTATTTATTTCAATCCAAACCAATCATATCCTATGTTTGGACTAATGAATTATCATAATAAAATTATACATTTTTCACATATACATAAAAAATATATAAAAATAAAAAAAAATTTATTAGGAAAGTTAATTTTTTTTTCAAACAAATCAACACTTTATTTTATTTCTTAAAAATTGATTACAATTGGAGAAAGGCAAATAATATGAGTAAAACAAAATAAATAAATAAAAATGCATGGAATTACAGCATAATGAAAATTCCCCTCTAACAGTACCCATGAAGTGTACCAGTGTACAGTAACAGTGAACAGTACCGTACACAGTACTATGAAAATTGACATGGACAGTACAAATCCAACTAAAGTAACTTGCTACCTGCTGCCAGAAATCCAACTGTAATATAATACTGCTGAAAGAGATTCCAACTAAAAAATCCAATAACAACATTCTGCTAAAAGAAATCCATTTGAGAAGTCATCTGCTAAAACCGCGCCTCAGATGGCAACGAATCTGCAGAAGTTATCTCCGTATCCATACAATCTTTTTTTTTTTTGGGTGGAACCTCAACGGTACGAGGGAGATTTTATTGATTAAAAATTAAATTACACCTAACCAGGGGAGACGTATGTACATTATCCCTCGATGTAAACTAATTACATAGTTGAAATTATAAAATAAAGAAAAGACAAAAATGCATGCATAGTACAAATAATAGTAAGAAATCAAATGATATACTAAACATGATGCCTAAAATTAAATGACCTTAGAGCTCAGATCTGGACTCCTTCGCAGAGTGAAGGTGCAGCCCCAAGAAATCCATAGTTCTCCAAAGAAAAGAGAAAAGAAATCCACCAAAGCTTCATCCATAGATTTTCCTAAGGACTCTTTAGTAGCACAAAACAGCAAAGACATCCAGAAGCTCCAATGTAGAACCAGCAAAAGAAAAGGAGACAAACAAGTGCCCTTAAAATTTGCTCCAAGTTGAATTACTGTAATATTGAAAAAATTTACCTTCTGAGTGGACTCCCTCCCAGTTGAATTGCCTTGATCCCCCGTTGATCATGTTGCAATAGGAGCCTGATAGAGAGAAGCATGTCACCTTGATTCGAGTATAAACAAGAATCATGATCCCTAACCCTTGAAACTTGCATCAAACAGCAAAACTAGCTAGAGAGAGAAACTGCCCAAAACAGACAGAACACTTCACAAAACATAAAATTGTACAACAATAAAACTGTACACTTCACAAAACATAAATTCTGCCTCCATATTTGAACAAGCACCATAAAAAATAGAAGCAGCAATAACCATTTTCCCCACTCATTTCTCACAAATGCAAGAAGCAGACTCAGTCCAGCTGTAATCCATGGCAGTCGAAACAGCCTACTCCAGTCAAAGCAACCCAGTCCCATGAACAGACAAACAAGCACAATTGAGGAGTCATCACATCTGAATTCCTAAGAGTCCAGTTAATAAAAATTTAGGAAAGTTAATAAATTTTTTTTCAAACAAATCAACACTTTATTTTATTTCTTAAAAATTGATTGCAATGGGAGAAAGGCAAACAACCATCCCTTAAAACAATATGATAAAGCTCTTGTTTGAACAGAAAAAACAGTAAAAAAAATGTTTATACTCACAACACAGCTGCTCCTTTGCTCACAGTTCAGCTCATGAGCCTATTTCCACCACTAAAAAAGCAGTAAAAACCACTGAACTAACAAATTTCTGTCCTCACAGAAGAAAATCAGTCCACAAAGTGAACCATTCCAAAACCCATGATAATCCACCACACCCCTGGAACTGACCTCAGAATCATGCTTTAATGGTTGCAACCCTTTCTAAATAATACTCTTAATCGAGTGTTTAAATGAAAGCCAAAGAAACCACTAACTTACAGCTCACTGGTAACCCCCCCCCCCCAGTTGGAGAAGGAGTTGAGTTCAACTCCCCATAAAAAGGACACTACATTGAACAAAACCAAGTTTAAAAAGTTGTTAACTCATACATATTTCTAAAACTGAATCAGTGGCCCTTTTAATAACTCTACCGTGGAAACCATGGCTTGAGGTCACAATATCAGCTATTGGCTCAAAGGATATAAGACACAATGGTTGAGAGATTTCCCAACGATATGCACAAAGTGCTGCATAGAAGAAGAAATTTAACAAATAATCAGGAACTGCAAGCACTCAAGACTGTCTGCCCAAGCACCTGGGTATGATAGGAATTGCTACCGACTTGATAAACACGTTAAACAAAACAAATAAACACCCAAAAATGAACTGAATAAATTACAAAATAGCACCGCCATCTTCCCCAAAAACCATTTGAACTAATACTTGAGAATTAGATTCAATCAAATACAGCCTTCATCACAATTTAAGAACATGGCAAACGAATGCCACACGCAACATAATTAAACCCACAAATCCAAAATAATACATAAACCAACACTAAAAACATACAACAATACTAGAGTGATTAAACAGCTCTGCCTCTATCGAATGATTTATGAACTAAAGAAATAAGTCATTCAGATTGAATAACCTGGGCAAGCTTGCCCAAGTACATACACCCCGAGTTTTTGTTACATGATAAAGGACGATGTCAATCATCATCAATAACTATGACATCATCTTCCCTCCTCCTCGAATTTACTGATGGGCATGATCCAACACTGCTATCAATGTTTTGTTGAATTGGGGTTGGTACATCGTTCTTGAAAATAATTTCCAATATTTAGAAGTTTGGACAAGGATCCAAACAATAGTTACAAGCAAAACCATCATCCTGTAATAAATGTGTCAAGTTATAATATAGAACCATAAATGTGTCAAGTAATGAAACAATGGCACACTGACACGAACATGAAACAAATTAATTAGATTCATGTACTTGAATGAAATCCAAATCACCAGACTCTGGGCCTTCAACAACACACGTAGTTTGTGTGTCTCAAACAAACATTCCACTATTTAACATCTCTGCAATGCCTTTATATTGACACTTCCAAAAAATGATTGCCCTTAACATATCACTCAATAACATTTGAAACCTAGGCATCCTTCGTTGTATACGTGTATAAAGTGCATCAAGCAATCTTTCAGAATACTTGCCTGCTATAGATAATTTCCCACGATTCTTAAAGTCAACTAATAAATCTAGCATGACATCAACTTCATCCTCAGTCATGTCGGGTAGCTTCATTGTGTACTAATACCACAACAATTACAAAAAAAAATATTATTTTCAAGTCATCACCCATAACCATACATACGTAGGATAAAATAATAAGTGAACAACATACAAGCAAAACATTAAAGTAACACATCTAATTAATAAGTCAAACATCCACATCATACATACGTTGCAACAAAAAATGTAACACATGCGTCAACCAAAATTTAGTTCATAAGCAGGGTACGAGTAACTTTACATACGACCTTGATAAACATCTAAATTAGGCCATAATATGATGCCAACCCAAACTGCTCGCTCTTCCACTAGCAAGCTAAAGAAAATGTCAACTTTTATGTTATTTGAAGCAATTTTGTATGCTGCCTCATGGCGGTGTGCCATTGTCAGGCCATCTATTTTTGACAACTCCATTACAATGGCACGTCTACTGGTAGCTGCATCTTGCTCGTAGCCTACTCTTTGTGCAATGCTTGCTAGTTGGTTCTCGCTTGAAACAACGTAATCACCAAATACCTTACATATCTGTGAAAGACTTGTAGCCATTGAATCGCTAAGATCACTAGATTTTCTTTTTTTTGTCTTACGTGTCTGTGGGGTGACATTCACACCCTCCCTGCCTTGAGATACACTTTGAGAGTGGCTACCAGCATCCGTTCTCCCAGTTGGATGAGCCTCTACATTGGCATCATCAGGGACATCCCCAGCAGCTGAATTATCTTCAATCATTTCCTCTAGTCCTCGGGTAAACTCACCCGTTGCCCTATCTTTCCCAAATATAAGGACCCAATCATCATAGAATGGCCATGATCTACCACGCATCCCCTTTGCATTCTTGTCTTTCTACATTGTCATTAGAAAAATTAATAGGACATAATATATACAAGTTATCTTGGTTTATTATTACTAATGGATGCAAGCGAGTAGTAAAACCTTCAAGTACTCCACCCAGATTTCTTCACCATAAACATCCACTTTCTTCTCATAATCATTCCATCCAAAATCGGATGTGCTCAACATTGAAAACAAAGAGTTGTACTATTTTTTCCATGCTTTGATCTTTGACTCAATATGTGGTGATGCCCTAAGGTCAAATGTTGGGAATGCTTCCTTCAAATTGTTCTCTAATGTTTGTAGATACCCTAGACGAAATGTGTCATTCTGACACTTCCATTTGTTCACACATAGTTCTTTTAATGCTTGAATCAGAAAAGTCTCTTCCGCAACTAACCATGTTCGGCGTGGACCACGCTCTACTTGGCTGCTGGCACCAACACTTGACATGACCTAGTTACATCCGTACAAGCCAAATACCATTAAATAATCGACACACACACAAATACATATGAATTGGGTAAATTTATAATAAGAAAACACAAATAGTTGACATAAATTATCCCAAATAAAATACATACAACTTAATTGGCCCGTTACTAAAAAAGTGGTAAAACATTTAGCCACCCCTACTCTCACACCACTCATTGTACATATTGTTGGCTAGTTGGTTTCTAAATGCAGTCCATTCATTAGACGTGTCGACCATGTCGATGACATCCGGCTCTATATCACCATGACCATCGGCCTGACTATCTTCTGGCAACTCATCTTCCACTGGGTCAAAAGCCATTTCATTTCTAATCAAATTATGCAACAAGCAGCATGCAACAATGATGCGATTGTGTGCGCACTGGGTAATGGCAAGGAGTCCTTAGGATTGTCCAGCGATTTTTGAGTAACGCAAAACAATGTTCGATAACATTCCTAGCCATTGAATGCCTAAGGTTGAAGAGTTCTAAAGCACTATGAGGTGCAACTGCCTCTTCGGCCCACTGTTGCACATGGTATCTTTGGCCCCTAAATGGAGCTAAGAACCCTTCCCCATTTATGTAACAGGCATCCACTAGGTAGTAGGTGCCTACGTAGAAATTATGGTTTTGTAAGAACACTCCTACTAACTATTACAGAAAATAATACTAGTGGTCATACATAACTTACCCCGAGCCACTTTAAATCCATCTCTCCTCGTTACTACATCTCATAGTATCCTAGAATCAGCAGCCAACCCTTCCCAACCAGGCAAGACATAAATAAATTTCATATCTTGGGAGCATACACCAAGAACATTTGTTGAGATGTCACCATGTCTATTCCTATATCTGGCTTGGTGAATCATTGGTACCCTTGCTTTAACGTGTGTGCATCTAGTGCACCTACACAATTCTACAAATAAAAAATAATGAAACAAATTATATTTTTTTCCATTCATCCAAATTCTATCAAATGACATATGACACAATTTTAGGGTTTCATTACCTTAAACCACCGCCACTTGTTATTTGTACAGTCCTCGGTTACTGGATTGGGTCTCGTTAATAGCAGACGATGCAACTTAATAACTGATTTCAACATAACATTGAAATGTCTGCTTACAGTTTCGCCTGATCTTAGAAAGTTGAACTTAATTGGCCTATTCTTCACATCATGACCCAATATATTTAGGAACATAGCCACCATTTCTTCAACGCTTACATATCTAGTGCGATTTAAACCACCTACTTGTTCCACCAAATTACAAAGAACGCAAAAAGTGTGTCTATTCATCCTCAATTTTTCTATGCAATTAATGTCACTATCACCAATTAGACGGTGCAAGTGTTCAAATTGCAATCGATTTCAAGACAATTGACTTGATGATAGTGGTTTTGATTGTCTCTCCATTTCCCACAACACTACTATAATGACCACAAACAAATTGAACATTACTATCATCTCTCTTCTCATCCTATCCAACACAACAATCAATCCAGCAATGTCATCAATATGGTTTGGCATTTTATCTGTTGAACGCCCTTGCAATTTTTTGTACAATAGTCACGTCAATACTAAATATAGTATTCATGTAACACAATTGAAGCTAAGCAAAAGAAACCATCAATGCCTACCATAGTGCAATGATCAAGAATTTAAATTAATAGACATAGCAAGCGTAGTGAACACTCATTCACCATGTTAGACCACCCAGAATCAACAGCAAACATTGCAGAATAAAATTCAGAGCATGGAACTACACATTACACCATACCGAGCAATTTTGTGCGCAATATAATAGCAAAAATACTCACAAATTAAAGGTCTTCAGCCACTACCCACAAATACATCCCTAGGACCCAGAAGAATGCTAGAGACCCAAAAATCCCTTTTTTAAAGGTGTATATGGTACTATTTTATCTTTATCTATCTATAATAAAATCATAAATCTCTGTAATTACATAAAAAAAATCCTACTCCCCAGTTTTAGATAGTAAAGGATTTGTACCACAAAAAAAAACCAAGAAAATCCTTTTTTAGTCTTAAGAATCACACTCAAAAATTGAAGGATCCAAAGCCCAAACCTTAAGCAATATGCATCTTTGGTCTGGACTAGTGTGTTCTAGAAACTCTCAAATTGACGGTTGAAGGGGGATAAAGCTACATCATAACTATCGAGTTACATGGAAGAAGTTTGAACAAAGTTTTTTTTTTCCGGCAAGTAAGTTTGAACAGAGCTGCACAACGGCATATGTGGGGTGTATATAGTAAATTTGTGGGTGATCACATTTTATTTTTTTTTTATCACATTTTATTGACATATGTTCCTAAGCCTCTACCAAATGTGAAATGGGTACTACCATATCTGTTCTTATCACCCTCTGTTTGTCACAGATCTGTTGAGATCTAGATCAATAAAGATCTAAATCAGTTCATCAAACTCATATCCAAACCTATTCATCAAACAGAGGTGAAGGAAAGCAGATCTGCTCTTCGGTGTGTGATCTTCGTTCTATCCAGAGAGATCAAGAGAGAAAGAGACACAAATAATAGAGATAGAGACATAGCAGTGAGAAACTTACCTCAAGAAGAAGCTATGTTCTTCTTTCTTTCTAGCGATGTCATCTTCTTCGTCGAATA